TATTAGAGCAATAAGGCTGTCACCATATGAACCCAATGATCAATCTTAACCTCATTAAAGGTGACATCACATGTCTTCTTCCTATGTGATTCATAGGAAGCACTTTTGACAAGAAAGGTGAAGCTGAATACAATTGAGACTCCAGAGCTGCAGGACCTAGTAAGGTAGCCACATATGGATATTTAAATTTAAATTAACTAAAACTAAATAAAAATTAAAATTCAGTTCCTTACTCACACTGCTGCTGCTGCTGCTGCTAAGTGCTTCAGTTGTGTCCTAGTCTGTGCAACCCCATAGATGTCAGCCCACCAGGCTCCCCCGTCCCTGGGATTCTCCAGGCAAGAACACTGGAGTGGGTTTCCATTTCCTTCTCCAATGCATGAAAGTGAAAAGTGAAAGTGAAGTCGCTCAGTGGTGTCCGACTCTTAGCGACCCCATGGACCGCAGCCTACCAGGCTCCTCTGTCCACGGGATTTTCTAGGCAAGAGTACTGGAGTGGGGTGCCATTGCCGTCTCCGTTCCTCACACTAGTCCCTTCTAAAGTGCTCAATAGCCACAATGGCGAGTGGCTACTGTATTGGATAGTGCAAGTAGAATATTCCTATAATCACAGAAACTTCTACTGAGCAGTGTTGCTCTAGAGCTAACTTCACTTCATAGAGGTTAGAGAAACATGTTAATGACATCACAAGAAAGCAAACACACGTATCTAGAATGTGAAACATCCCATAAGACAACTAACCCAGTTAACCTGCAACAAGTCAATGACATTAAAAAAAAAAAAAGTAAGTGGGGAGGAGAAATGTTCTAGATTAAAAGATACAAGCTCTGGCAACAAAATGCAATATGTGGGCTCTGCTGGAACACTGTTTAGACAAATCAACTTAAATAGAATATTTAACACTTTTGGGGAAATTTGATTATGGCTATAATACCAAGCAATTAGTTAATTAATCAAAATTACTTTTGAAAGGTATGATAATGTCCCTTTGTTTATGGAAGCCAAATATCAACACTGTTTAGAGATGAATATTAAAGTATGTAGCAGAAAAGATCTCATGTTTAAGGCTTTGTTTCCAAATACTCCCACAAATGAATAAAATGAATAAAGGAAATGTAGCAAAATATTTATAATTGTTAACCTGGTGATGGATATAAGGAATATACTATAATTCTATACTTTTGTATACTTAAAAATATTCATAGTAACAATTTAAAAATCTTTAACACATACTTAAATAGGAAAAGTAGTCATATCTTTATGTAACTTTCATTGTCTTAAAATAGTCCATCAAAAGAGGATTCTTGGTGGCATCACTATGAATTCCCTTCAACGGAAGTCTTGCTGTTGGTCACTAAATCTATCTGACTCTTTTGCAACCCCATGGACTGTAGCCCACCAGGCTCCTCTGTCCATGGCATTTCTCAGGCTAGAATACTGGGGAGTGGGTTGCATTTCCTTCTCCAGGGAGATCTTCCCAATTCAGGGATCAAACCTATGTCTCCTACACTGGCAGGCAGATTCTTTACCAATGAGCCACCAGGGAAGCCCAACAGAAGTCTTACATAAACTCAAAGAGAAAACATGGTGGATCTATTTACCTCAAATTCAGATAACATGAGAAAATTATTGTGGTGTGTAGTACTTTATAAGTAATTTAAAAAAGAAGCAATGCGTTAAAAAGAACCATGGTCTCTGCCTGAACAGCCAAAAGAGAGGCTGGCCATCTGAGTATTTCTTTAAGCATACATACTTCTTGAGAATTCCTCCCAAGAATCAGGAATGCTTCTAGGGAAGGAACTAAATTGCAACTGAACAGCTTTTAACAATCCTGAAGTCATTTGGGATCTGAACTTACACGAGCTCTACTTCACAAACTTTTATCAGAGTTCGTGAGTCAAACTCCTATTACTCTCGGCTTCTGCTTTGACTGACTGGCATTTGTAGGCTCAATACTTACTTAATGATACCATACAAAACCTTCCACAGGACTGCCCTTGGGCATTCTGGACAACATATATAATCTATATTTTTCCATTGTAAAGTAATTTCTATTCAGGAAAAATCAATTTGCTCCTTTGAGTTTCATCTGGCTAGTTCTATGTCCATGGAAGTAACAGGCTAATTATGACCAAAAGCAATTTCCAAGGAATTATATTATCCAATACAAGAAAGCAGAAAAGAGTCTGATTTAGTTCCAAGAATTGTAAAAAGTATCTGCTGTACTTGGGCACAAGATTTAGGCCCTAAAGTCAGCCATGGCTAAGATGAGGCTACTTATATCCACCCTATCTTCTCCTACCAAAACATAATTCTTCCCATTCCCATTTTACCCTCTTTTATCTGTGTGTAATCCTACACCTTTCTTTTCATACTTGTTTCCCTTTCTTTTCATACTTGTTTCCATTCATTTGTTCCCTATTTATCCATCCCGCACACATTATTGAGTACCTATTATGTGCTAGGTACCATTCTAGACAACAGAGGTACAAGACTGAATGAGACACAATCTATGCCCTTGTGGACCTCACTTGCTAGTCAGGCACAAAGTGAAAGTGAAAGTCGCTCAGTCATGTTCAACTCTTCTCAACCCCATGGACTATACAGTCCATGGAATTCTCCAGGCCAGAATACTGGAGTGGGTAGCCTTTCCCTTCTCCAGGGGATCTTCCCAAACAAGAGACTGAACCCAGGTCTCCCATATTGCAGGCAGATTCTTTACCACTTGAGCCACCAGGGAAGCCCAAGAATATTGGAGTAGGTAGCCTATCCCTTCTCCAGTGATCTTCCCAACCCAGGAATCGAACCAGGCAGATTCTTTATCAGCTGAGCCACTAGTTGGGTAAGAAAATAAATACATGACTACAGATAAGATAATAACAGTGTGACAAATACTAGGGAGGAAATGCCAAGTTAGGGGTGAGATAAAAAGTTACAGGGTAGAGGGAATAAGAACCTAATTGCAACCCAGTGGACAGGTCAGCCTAAGGGTATGACAGTTGATCTAAGATCTAAAAAGAAAAGCATGACCACTAAGAAGACTTTTAAAAAGAAAACATACTCCAGCAAAGGGAACAACACATGTGGAAGGCCAGGAGTCAGGAAAGAAATTGATATATTTGAGGAACTGAAAGGCCATTGAGCATACTAGGAGAAACTTGGGCAGGGGGTAGAGGAAGCTAAGAAATGACACTCAAGAGTAAGGCTAGCACTAGACAGGGTTAGTGTTGTGAAAGACAACGTGATTGCCTCCCTAAGAGCCATAAGCTCTTTTGCTTTGCTAATGGAAGCCTGGTTTTGCATGGGTGGTGATGCATCTAGCTCCAGGGAATGAATCACAATTTATTTAAGCCAGTTCTGGCCAATGATATATAAGGGTAAGTCACTGTAAGTTTTTCAAATAATAAAAAGTCACAAGTGAGTGGAGCTGTTGTCTTCTCTCCCTTCGTACTTTTTAAGTGCTGTAATGTTTTTTCCTAGGCATTCACTCCTAAACTCAAAAGGTTTAGTCACAGTGCTCCTCAACTTTCATTTGTAATTAATTATTAAGGTATAACATATATTCATTGGAAAATACTGGAGCAGCACAATACAGGAAAGCTAAAAGTAGAAAGTAAAGATGCTCAGTGACTTCCTTGGCAGTCCAGTGGATAAAACCCCTAAGGCAAGTTTCCCTGGGTGAGATCTTTGGTCTGAGAACTAAGATCCCATATACTGCTGGGCACTGCCAAAAATTTTAACTTTTTTTTTTAATGTAAAGATTCTCAGAAACTTTCCTCCCCAGCCCTACTCACCAGGAGTAATCATTAATAATTCTTGTTTATCCTCTAGGAACTTTCTATCACACGTGTACACACAAATTGTTTTTACACAAACTGAATTATTGTGTCTTGACAGATACGTATAGCTATATAAATATACATCTAAGAAAGTTGCCTTTTTTACTCACATTTTGGAGATATTTCTATACCAGCACGTTTATATATACTTCCTTCTTTTTGTTCCTTGCCACCAAAAAAAGAAAAAAACTACAATAAATACCTTTGTGGATATAACACTGGTTACTGGTACAAAATAATTGTTGGATAGTTTCCCGGTAATTAAACTGCCAAATCAAAGCATTTAACCTCTGATACTGTCAAATTACCCATTGGGAAGGTTACACATGTGATACTCTAACAGCATTTCCTCACATCTTGTCTACATTCGGTGTTTACAAACTTCAAAAAAAGATTGAAAACATGGCGTCTGGTTGTTTTTATTTGGGTCTTTATTTTGGGGGTCTCTTATTATTAAGTAGGACAACAATGCCTGATTGTTAAACCCGCAAAAGTTTTTCAAGTCATATACCCTGAGGTGACCCCATCTCTTCCCCTTAAAATTTGTGACCTTAGGCAAGCTGTCTATTCGCCTCAGAAAAGGGAATAAGGGGAGCACAAAGCTTTACGATTAAACGGCATATCTAGAAATACAAAGAATCCCTCCCTATACATTCGTTATTAGTGGTACTCATTACTAGCGATATTTTTTAAGCCCCTCAGTATTTTATCTTTGGCATACTCCTCCTCCCTCCCAAGCTCGCAAAATCCTCGTTGCTTGTAACTCAAAACGAGAGGAAAATTGGCTGTTTTTCAAAATTCTCTTCCCTTCAACCGCCCCTACCGCCACCGCCGCTTCAGAAACTGGTTTACATATCCTTAATAAGTGAGGGAATGAGTTGCACGTTTTAAACAATACGCAAAGTGGAAAGCTTGGTCCGTGCACCTCTCGATCTTCTAGGACTCACTGTTTACTGCGTAAGAAACTCCAGATAACCAGTATTTAATACGACATGACCCTCAGCGCCAGGGAAAGTAAATCAGCACCGCTGAAGGGATTCGTGAAAAGAAGTTTTAAACAAGTGAGCTGTCCAAACCCAACCCCTACTCCCAAGCCCCGGGACCCACCTCCCGCGGCCCCGCCTTCCAATCCGGAAGTGATGTACGATGTGGAGTCCGTCTTTTTCCGCCGTGCGCCGGCTGCGCGGCCGGGACTAACGCGGCGCGTACGTCGGCGTCGGGGCTAGCAGAGGGATTCTGGGTAACGGCCCCAGCCGGCTGGGGCGGCTGGCTCCGCGCAGCGTGTAGTACTCACGCCAAGTCCGTTGGCTGTGGGGGTTGTAGGGCCGCTGGCAGCCGGACATGGAGCAGCCGTGGCCGCCACCAGGACCTTGGAACCTCCCTCGGGCAGAGGGTGAGGCTGAGGAAGAGAGTGACTTGGACTTGTCCCCCGGTTCTCCCCGCTGTCCGCAGCTGCCGGGAGGCGGCACCCAGGTGAGAAGGGAGCCCGTGTTCTGCGGGGTGGGGGGTGGGGAGGTGTTGTCACCAGGCCCCCAGAGATCTCTGTCTCTGCGACACTGTTTTGAGCTCCCACCTCCCCCTTTTACCCACGCCGACCCCGGGCGTCGGGGGCCTGATGTCATCCCATTGCTTTGTAACATCTACTGAGCTCTTCGAAGAGGGGCTGGCCATATATTCCCAACCTCCACCTCCACACACACGTTTTTCACCTTGGCTAATTTCTCACCCTTAAAGAAGTTCCTCCCCCCCACCCCTCTTCTGATGGCACCCAGATTTAGGACAGCTCGGTCTATAATGTTGACCCTTTTGTCCTCTTGTGCCTGCTCTTATCCGAACACTTTATTCTCTTGAAGGTTGTAATATTTGTGCACAGTTGATGGGAACAGTGAATGGTTGTATTTCAATAATTTTCTGAACCCCTGACTAAAGACTTTATGTCCAGTTTATTTTACTGACTTTTGACATCTGAGCAAATTCTGTAAATCTTGATTTTGATGCTGGCGTAAATCTCGGCCATTCGCGTCACCATTTCCCCCTTAGGTTTATGATTTTAGTTTTGCTTCATACCATTCTTCAGTTATAAACATATAGGCACGAGCTTGGCTTTCCTTCAGACTTTTTCCTCAGATTCCTGCCGCTTCCTGTGGTTTTCAGCCAAGCCTTTTTTCCTCTGAAACTTATCCAGATGTGATATAGTACCACTTAGGATTTTCTGGGTCCCACCTTACGGAGTGCTTATATAGTGCTCATATCACTTGGTCCTGGTTTTTCTTGTAACCTGTTTTCGGAGTATATTTCAGGATCACTGACTAAAGACTAATAAGTAAAATAAAATGGAGTTTAGATATCTGCCTTCTAGGCTTCTTACAAAATGGGATCCCTGAAGGCTTAACTGAGTTAATAGTTTTTCTCTAGACTTATCTTGCTGTTAATGAGAATGAGTGATTTAAATTGTATTCCAATAAGTGTAGGGTCGTTGATCTTAACCCCAGCTCACAGGGTTAGTTGGCTGCAAAGAGAAAAATGCTGTTTCATAACCACAGACTGTTCTTCAGCCAGTCATTGGGAAAGTACAAGACATTTTTTAGGAGGACAGAATGAGAGTTGATAAGTCGATAGTCACTAATTTTGGATCGCTGGTGTCATCTTTATATACAAAATATGTTATATAAGCATATAATGACTGTGGTACAGAGCGAAAGACAAAGAATGAACAGCAGCTGCCATTGTTAATTTTGAAGGCTTATAGAGAGGATAGAAAGGTCTCAAGAATTTCACTGCATAGTGTTTGAATCTAAAGTGTAACCTAAAAGAAACTGAATTCTAAAAATAGCTGTGTATTAATTTATAACCTTATTTAGCTGACAGGAATTTTAGAAATGATATTAGGCTTATCTCCTTCATTAAAAGTGATTTCCTTGAGACTATGTAGCTAGTCAGTGGCAGAATTAGATCCTGCCACATCCTGGTTTAGAACCCACTTCTGGAACCTAGTACAGTGTTTTTTCCCACCTACTGCACTGCCCATCCTGTGATGTAAAACTTTATTTGGCTGAAACTAACTTTGGTGCTAAAATTTACAACAGCCTTGGTGTAATTTTACCTAATATAGGGAACCTAGACATCTTAATGTCATATGTATAGTTCTGAGATCAAATTAAATGCAATTTGGAACTTAGAGATCCTGTTTGGAATATTTTTTAATGTAAAGTTATATTAGTAGACCTTAATGCTAACAGTTCCTTTTTCAAATCTGTGTTTATTAAATATAATCAATCATCTCAATACATGTGGCATAGTTAAATGCCCAAACATAGTCTTTGGAGAAGAATATAAACATTAATCAGTTTTAGAATTTGGAAATAAGATTTCTATGTTTGACTTGAGAAATGATTTGAGAATTTGCTCCTGCATAATTTGACCATGCAAGATATTTCCGTTTGTCCTCATCTTTGTTAGTATTTGTCTTTTCTTACAAAATAAATTTGACAGGTTCATTTGTCACCTCTTCCTAGTTCCTTCTTAAGCGTAGCTAATCTACAATTATTCATAATCCTATTCTAGAATAACAAAAAGTAAAAGTAAATACTTGGTTGACTAGGACCATGTGGTAAATGAGCAACTGAAACATTTGAATACCAAGTGTCCACATTTGCCCAATAGAAGTCTAAGTTTGCCTGAAGACTCAGCCAGGAAGGAGGAACCTTGCATGCTACTTGACTTAGAATTCTTTACCACCACTAGTCTGTTCCAAGAAGTCAGGAGTCATTTATTCATCTAAGATTTATTGAATTCTAACCCCTCAAGAAGCTTATAGTTGAGTAAATAAGCACAATATTGTATGAAAGCACTCAAATGCATGAAGAAGTATGCATAACTTTGGTGGAGAGAAACAGGATAAGAGGGAAGGGAAGTGATGCTGGAATCTAGGATAGAGATGGGAGTTTAGGGATGGGGGATTGCCACACTGAAGTGGTGGGGGAAAGAAGAAAAGAATAAGCAGAGTAGTAGAAGGGTAACTACAACTGAGTCCAGAGAGATAATAGGAAGTGAGATCATGATGCACCATGCCATGCTATGAAGTTTGTACTTTAAAAGTTCTCAAGACTCTGTGAATAAGTAAAATCATCATTTTTGTTGGAGAGATCATGCCAAGTCTAGTAGAGAATGGCTTGAGATTAGAAAGGCTATACTTCTATAATTAAAGTGAGAAATTATAAGGGCTTGAATAGTGATGCAGGTAAGGGAATAGATTGGAGTAAAATTATTCTGAATACCTACCTTGAAATTGGTCTACATTTTGGCTAAGAAATCATGAAAAATGTGCCTTTAGCTTTTGTTCTATAGAGCCGAAAATTAGAAGGAATTAAATATCCATCTTGATACTTTACATGTGGAGGTTGAATAATTGTTAAAACTGAGTACTTTTGCGTCTGAGTAGAACAGAATCACCAGGGTGGACCTAGTGACTTTTTTCTTTTTAATTAAAAAAATAGCCTATTTTTATTAGGATTAAGTAAGGTTATGTATCTGATACAGTCAGTTATAAATAGAAATTTCCAATAAGAACTTCTCAGATTACCAAGGACTAGGGTAATACAGAAAGAAAATAGAAACCAAGAAGTGATTACTTCTAAATAAGCAGTTCTTTGCAGTGAAGAACTTGCAGAGCAAAACTCTAAAGGTCTGGTTTTCAGTATGTTGAGTGATAAGATGATGAACTATATTTAAGCTTTTGTTCTCATTATTTTGTTCCAGGATTATAAAGGCTATAAATCAAATGTTTGTTGAGGCCCTGCTGTATGCAGAACACTGTGCTAGTTGCCAGGCTTTTTGTTGCTGTTAGTTGTCCAGGGAGAGACACGAATTAACGAAGAAGCTTAGAGTCTCAGTGAAGAAACAGACCTATAATATAAAATTGTAACTGCTGGACACAAAAAGGCCAGACACCTATATGCCAAAAACATTGTACAGAAATCCTTGACTAATAGAAAATTGAACTGTTGTACATAAGCATACCTGTTCTGTTGCCTTCTTCATTTCTTAAAAATACTGTTTTTTGTCCAGATGTATAGCCATGGAATCGAAATGGCTTGCCAGAAGCAGAAAGAGTTTGTGAAGAGCTCTGTGGCGTGTAAATGGAATCTCGCTGAAGCTCAGCAGAAACTTGGTAGCTTAGCACTGCATAACTCTGAGTCCTTGGATCAGGAACATGCCAAAGCACAAACAGCAATATCAGAACTGAGGCAACGGGAAGAAGAATGGCGGCAGAAAGAAGAGGCTCTAGTACAAAGAGAGAGAATGTGTCTGTGGAACATGGATGCCATTAGCAAGGATGTTTTTAATAAGGTATTATCTTTTATTGGGCCTGCTGATATAAGGAAAGACTGAAATGTTTGTGCAAACCAGTTGTGCATATCTGATAACAAAGCAACAGAATCCTGTAAACAGTATTCAATTTGACAGTTTAGGAGAAGTGATCGTTATAGAAACATGTATCCCAAGTAGTGTCTAATGTTGGTAGTCCTTAATCCAATCATATGGCTGCAGCATAGCACAGTGAATATAAATGTGGGTTCTAGTCAGACTGCCTCAAATGTCAACTTTGTCACAGCCTGGCTTTGTGACCTTGGGCAGATCCCTTCCCTAAGCCTCAGTTTCCTCAAATATAAAGAGCAGGTATAAAGATTAAGCAAGGTAACATCATAGAAGCAGGTAGCATGGGGCCTGGCATGTGGTAAAGATCAGATGTTACCAGAGATTTATGGTGTTGCTGTGCTTATCAGCTTGCTTTCAGTTTTTTTGTTGTTGTTTAGTCACTAAGTTGTGTCCAGCTCTTTTGCAGTCCCATGGACTGTAACTCGCCAGGCTCCTCTGTCCATGGGTTTTTCCAGGTAAGAATACTGGAGTGGGTTACCATTTCCTTCTCCAGGGGTTCTTCCCAACCAAAGAATAAAACTCACGTCTCCTGCTTGGCATGTAGATTTTTTACCACTGAGCCACCTGGGAAACCCAACACTAATGTAGTTACTGGTTTTATCAAGTAAAACAAAGTTTCTCACTGTTATTTACCAGTATGCATTTAGTAACTCTCAGATAGTAATCTGGACCTAGTGTTACAGGCATTACTGCTGAAATGAGTAGTAAAATATTTATGCCAAGTTAGTAGTTTATTAGGAGCAGTCTTCTGTTTCTCACTGGATTACATAGACCTTATTCTTTGATTTCCGAATCTGAAAAAGAAGTGGGCAATGAAATAAAGTCATTTTCATCTAAATGTGTAAAGTAATATTTCTTTCTATTTGTACTAAACTCTCAAGCCTCAGGTGTAGACTGCTCATTCTTGTCTAAGTCCACATTCATTTTATCTTTAACCTTCATTATTCTCTAGATGTACTGTGTAACACTACTTGTTTCTGCTCTGGCATCCACTCTAAAAGCCTCTCCTTCCCCAGGCATCTTTAATTTCTTTCCTCTGGACTAGCTCTAGTCCTGCTACAGCAATAAGTAATACACATAGGTAAATGTCCTGTACTACTAGCCTTATCAGTACTTTACTTTGTAATGAAGGTAAATTATAAGAGTATAACATACTTCTTATAAAAAAACAAAACATAGGCCTGTAAAATAGAGTTGAAAGGCTCCCTTCATTTCCCATTTCCCAGAGATAACCGCTGTTAACAATGAGTCATCTTTCTAGACTTTCCGTGCTTGTACCAAATTATATATTTTTCTTTCCCCTCAACAGAATCATTCTTTAACAGATTGTTCACTATATCTATGTATATTGTTCTAAGGGATGTGCCTTCTTAAGTGTTATTTTACTTATGTTTTGCATTTATACCCCAAAACTATTTAAAATGATCTTTTTATAATACAGAGAATGGTCAAAACAGTGTTCTTTTGTTTATACAGTTATTGTCTCTTAACACAGTGGTCACAAAGAAAATACTTTTGTCTCTGCTTTTAATTATTTTTTTTCCTTAAGTTAGATTCTAATGTAGCCTACATTTTTACCAGAATTAATCAAGACTATCTTTATGTTCCAGTCATTTGCTGAAAATCATGCATTCATTTTGTTGGGGAGCTTGAGATTTGAGAGGACAGGTCTAGATCTGCGCTAGTCTGACAACTTGATAGCTGCTAGCCATATGTGCTATTGAATACTTGAAATGTAGCTAGTCCAAACTGAGACGTGCTGTAAGTGTAAAATACACACCAGATTCCGGTGGCTTAGTACCAGAAAAGTAAAATATTTCATTAATAATTATTTATATTACTTATATGTTGAAATGATAATATGTTGGATATGTTGGGTTAAATAGATACTATTTCATCTGTTTCTTTTTTTAATGTGGCTGATAGAAAACTTTACAGTTGTGACTTGGATTGTATTTCTGTTGGACAGTTCTGGTCTAGATGGCAGGATATACAAAGAGGGGAAAAAAATGCTTTTATTTTGAAATATATAAACTTGTGTGCTTCCTGACTGTAAACTGGCAGAGAGCTAGTTTTCAATTTCCATTTTTGGCAGTGATGATCTCAAGGTTTAAATGTGATCACATAATGTACTGAGAAACTTTTTGCCAGTTTTTGTGGCCAAATAAAAACTTCATCTTGGTCTGTTTTATGACTTTAACTGAAAATAAGCACTTCCTTAATAGAAGTTTGTGCGTGATTTCAGAATCAAACTATTTAGCCTCTCCTAAGAAAAGTTTACAACAAAAGTTTACAAACCTAAAATAGGTTTATGTCTTAGGAAAATTTTGTAGTAAATGTACTCTATAATCTTTGAATTTCTGGGTTTGTTTCCACCAAGAACTCCGAAGATTAGACTAGAGTTGCAAATATTTAATGGAAATGAATAATGCAAAAATAAATTATGCGTGTAAAGGATTTTTCTATACCTGCCTTTGACGGGCATATTTGTTTTTACAAAAAAGTTAATTCATTTGTTTTTCTCTGTGATTTCTAAAATAGAGTTTTACAGATGAATTTAATGATACAATATCAATTTACTGTATCACCTTTTTATAATGTCTATAAGAAGGATTGCTGGGCATTCAGTATCTGAGAAAGAAGATCCAATTATAATATAAAATCTGATTTTAACTTCAAAACTTTTTTCTTAGAGTTTTATTAATCAAGATAAAAGAAAAGAAACAGAAGATGAAGATAAATCAAAATCATTTATGCAGAAACATGAGCAGAAAATTAGACATTTTGGTAAGTCTACTACTTGAGTTTCCTTCTTTTGTAATGTTTGGTATCATAAATGTATGTACAGAAACTTAATTTATAAATTAGAGACAAACTCCAGTTGTACAGCTACTTCTGGCACAGTTGTCTTTGGCTCGTTTTAGAGCTATACATAAAAAAATAGAGTGATAGAGTAAACTGAATTGTGGAAAAAAGCAGAATTCAACCTGTTTGTATAATGCTACCCTCTATGACCTAGTTGTCTTTTTTTTTTTTACTACCTAGACTCTGCATTTCCCAACTAGGGAAGTTCCTGCTTTTGTCTTTTTTTATCTTTGCTTTCCTGGTATCTGGTTATCTTACGGTTGTAAGATTAGCATTTTTCAGATTTTGGATATGATGCTATACAATTCATGCACATCCTTCAACTGTTATTCAGATAAATAACAAGTAATAGAATATAATCTATAATAAGTAAGAGAAATATACATACAAAGAACTGAAAAATAGTTTTCTCTACTGGAGAAAAATGATAGGATGGGGGTTGATTTAAGTGAAGGCTTCCCAGAGGAGGGAACATCTCAGTTAGATTTTGAGGACCATGTAGGCGCTTTCCTGTAGATGAAGGGAGGCAAGGCAGCAGCCACAGCATGTACGAAGCCAGAGTTGGGAAGTAGTATGATATGTCCTAAGAATTATAAGCAGTAACAATACTGCTGGAGTGAAAATGCTACTGGGGAGTATAATGTGTCAATTTAGTAAATATATGTTAATAAGCTTTTTAAGTGACATTTTGAGACTTTTTTCTGTTGGTGGTTTTCTCCCAAAGTAGTAGAATTTCATTCATCCTTATGTCAGTATAATGGATACTACTTTAGTTTTTTATTTCTTTTTTGTAGTTTATTCATAAAATTTATTAATTTTTCTCATACTTTTTATTTTAAAAAATGAAATAAGCTTGTATTGTTTAATTCAATAATAGTTTCTGAAGAAGTAAGTAAAGTTTATTTTTGCACATATTATCATTCCAGCATTATTTATTATAGAAACAAATAGAAAAACTATGGTCATCCTCAAGAGTTGATTTTGTCTCCATTATTGAATAGATAGTTTAAAACCTTTTAACATTCAGTGACACCCTTTTTCACGGCCCTTACAAGTGTCACTAACCCTTTCGTAAATTCTCTTTCCTTCAAAAGAGACCAAAACAGATAGGAATTTTGTGCCTGAGTAAGTCACAGTGCTGCCATGGAGAGGTAAACAGGAGAAGCAGTGATCTCTCTGAATAGTTGATAGAGTTGAAAATATTCCCTCTTTAGAAGTGTAACAAAGCTAAGGCAAAATTGCTGTATAGGATTTATTTTATGGCATCAGGTATAAGAAATAAGGATTATACTTTCTTTAGATCTGACCTCTAGAAGTTATTACTTAAATTCTTTCACTGTAGTTTGAGAAGAAGTTTAAAGTCACTTAAATAATCATTATGTTTCTCAGAATTTAAAATGACCTAGTCACTGTATCCAAAGTGTTGGGGAAATAACTATAAAGTTTGTAAAACTCTTTATGAGAAAATGCTAAAATGCTATTTTCCAATTTTTTTAATGAGGAAAAAATCATTTATTTTTAATTGATTTCCTTGTGTTACTGTGTGTTTCTCAGTAAGACATTTGTTCTCAGTTTTGTTTTTACTTATGTTCTGATGTGGAACTTTAACATACAGAAGTTCATTTTGTGTCTGGAGAAAAGATTTATTGCCGAACTATTGAGATAGCCTTGTGAAATTTCCGTGATGATTCTTGGATAACTTTCTTGGTTGGATGAATCTAAATAAAGGTCAGCACTTTGCTGATTCTGTGATTATTTGGGTGGTATCAACTTTTTGGCCAAATTTCTCACTAATTTGGGTAAAGATGACAGTACACCTTTAGTAGCATTTGGATTAGTTTAGTATTTTAAAGCAAAATGGCAGCATTTCCAAATATACTTAACCAACTTTAAAAGAGTTTATTTTCTGTGTCTAAACAGTGATCATGATTAAATGTTTAACATGACTGAAGTGGTTAAACTATATTTACTACTATAACACTGACTGGATTGGTTTCCCATGCAGTATTTTACTATATCAGACATTTTAGTAAATTAGAGGAAATGTAATTTTCCTGAATCTTTTATTAAGTCTTTGTTGGCTCAGTGTAGTTTACTTTTGAAAAGTAAAGGTTTGAAAAGAAAGGTTTTGCTTTCTTTTCCATCTTCCCAATAGAAAAATTTGTATTCTATGAATAAATAATACTGAATCTCCTGAAATTATTGTACTTAATGTTCGCCTAGAATGACCAACCAGCCATATCTATTTGCCAGGGATTTGGGGCTTTCCCTAGATACAGGACTTTTATAGCTTTAAACCAATCACCCTACTTCATCCTGACAAATTATTTGAAATAAAATTTGCTGTGAATTTTGAAAGCTATTTACAGTATGCCAGGTATTGCTTTATTATCTATCTTCATTTGCTCTTTTACCATAACATTTCTGTGGTAATACGGGCTGTCTTTAAAGAGAATCATTTTAAAATACCATTTCTTTGCTTACGGGAGGAAAGTATTTGACATTCATGGTTTAATTCTTGTTTTACAGGTATGTTAAGTCGATGGGATGATAGTCAGAGATTTTTGTCTGACCATCCATACCTTGTATGTGAAGAAACTGCTAAATATCTTATTTTATGGTGTTTTCATCTAGAAGCTGAACAGGTATCATGTGAAACTTGAATTTCTGAGAACCTTAGTGGAATGCCGATTTGCTCCCCGCCCCCCCATTACTTTAAATGTAAGCAGAAAGGTCATTAAATGGAATTCCAGTTTTGTTTTGTTTTCAGGATCTGCTTGAGCTTACTGTTGGCATCTTTCCTTAGTTATTTCAGTTAGCATAGGGAAACTTTTTTCCAGTGTGCTTTCCCTGCTTTCCTGTCCCCTCATCTCTCTTGTTCCCATACTATAAACCTTTTTCTTTTTTAACCTATTAAAAATTCATGTTTTAAAAATCTGAATAGTAATCACAATATCAAGTATATTTCTTATAATTTTAATCTGTTTATTTTCAGAAAGGGGCTCTAATGGAACAAATAGCACATCAAGCAGTTGTAATGCAGTTTATTATGGAAATGGCCAAAAACTGTAATGTGGATCCAAGAGGATGTTTTCGCTTATTTTTCCAGAAAGCCAAAGTAAGTAGCTATTTGGTATTATTATTTTATTTTTTTATTGAAGGATAATTGTTGTTTGTTATTATTAAATGGGAAAGTTAGGCTTTAGCGGAAACCTCTTTTTGTCCATACACATCAAAGGAGGCCATCCAACCAGGATGCCACAGGCTAGATTCTGTAGATTTTATAATGAAAAGAAAAAGTATATTGCTGTTTTTATGCTAATTTAGATTAAGAGGCTGTACTATAGCATTATGTGAACTGGAGACCCAATTACATGAATGTATATATTCAGGAAAATTAGAGGAATGGTTTGAGAAAAAAAAACTGTAGTTCATAGAATATTATGCAGCTTTCAAGATTATATGAAAATTATATGAGGTATTTTTAATCTGAGAAAATGCTTTGCTATAAAGTGAAAAGACGCAATACATTTATATATGTAGGATTATGTCAGCTATATTAAAGAAAAATAGATATGTTTAGAAAGATTGACATTTCACACTCACTAAATTAGTAATGATTTAAAGGTTGTACAAGAAGTAGAGCAATAGTAATTCATATTAACTACCTGTAGGAGTGTAAATTGGTGTAACCACTTTGGAAGATTTTCTTGTAAAATTGAACAAGGCAAGTGCCAACAGCCAGAAATTCTCCTAGATATATATACTCTTGAAAAAAATTTCTCAACATGTGATCCAAGGATACTCAAGGGTCTTCAAGACCCTTTCCAGAGGTCCTGAGTTAAAATTATTTTTATAATAATACTAAGATGTTATTTGTCATTTTCACTCTCCTTGTGTGAGTGTGCAGCTTGGATTGATACAGAAGCAGATGTATGAATACAGCTATCTTCTTTTAAGCCCAGACTTCTCACTAAATAGTTTGTTTTGGAAATATAGTTTAAAGATATATATATATATATGTATGTATGTTATATGTTAAAAATGTTAACATGTAATGAGTTTGTTATTATATTTCAGTTAATATTTAATTCCACAGTTTTAATTTCTAACATAATTATTGATAGATACAGTCCACATAAACAGGAGCTCTTTAGGTTCCTCAACAATTTTCCGGAGCATGAAGCAGTCCTGAGACTATAAAGTTTGAGAATTTGCTGCCCTAGAAAAACTCCTATATATGTGCTTCATAGAAGTGTTCATAGTAGCAAGAAGTCTGGGAACAACCTAAGTATCTGTTAACAGTATAATGAATAAATTGTGGTATATTCATTTAGTAATATACTAATCAGCACTGGCATGGATAAAAAAACAAGAAACTAAAAAAACAAGTCTCAGAATGAAATACCTGCTATTATTTTTAAAGTATTTTATATTTTAACAAGCAGAACTAAATAATATATTGTTGAGGGATATGTAAACAGGAAAACTGAAGAGACAGAGGAGTGACTGACAAGTCAGAGTTGTAACCTCAGAGAGAGATGAAATGCTCATTTTTGAAACTGATCTCTATAGTACTAGTATAGAAAAAAAATAAATAAATAAATAAAGTACTAGTATTGATCTGTTTCCTAATTTTTGTGGGTACGTAGTACGATTCTTGCCCAGTAAATTGTACATATATATTTTACGTGATTTTTTGTATATTTGATACATTTTAGCATACATAATTAGAAGAAAATGTACCAGAAGTTTAATTTTGATTATATTTGAGTGGTAGAATTACAAATGGTTTCCATTTTCTTTTTCATGTCCTACAAAGAACATATTTCCTTTTATAAATAGAGAAAAACATTGTATTTTTAAATTATAAAAATTTTTTAGTGTGGCAGAAGTTGTACCTTCTGCTGTTAAAATAGGAAATTTTCCCAAAACAGTGGTTTTAATGAGTAAATGATTGAGTTGGTATTTTAGACTTCTGATGACTGTTTTAAATTTTGACACACAGGTAGTTAAAAATAAAGTTTCTTCTTCATCTTACATTAAAGGATGTGTTTGAACTAGTGTTTAATAGCATAATGGAACATAGTGATACAATATGTATTTTTTGACATTTATAATACTTTGACAAAATAGAACTAAACAACTCTGAAGCTATAGATCTTAACATTTTGTTCTTAATATTTTTTTTAATTAAGAAATAACTTTCATGAACTATTTGCTTTGTGAAAGGTACTCTAAGCACTTCACATGGATTAACTCATTAAACATTCATAACATTTTATAAGGATAATTACTTTTTTTTTTTTTACAAATGAGGAAGTTAGCATAGAGAAATTGAGCAAGTGACCCATAGGTTGCTTAATAAAACAAAAATCAATCAAGTCTCTCTAGATCTAAATACCTAGGGTTTAGGCATGCAGTAAGGTCAGCAGTTGTGTCACTTGATTCCTTTAATGGTTTGTTGCATAACTGTTTCAGAAGGATTACTTTTGGATATGAAGGCTAACATTCCATGTGTCTCCATAAGTACCATTTATTGACTATAAAGTGAAGTGTTAATAAAGAAATGACTCCTAAATTCATAAAAAAAATACAGAATAGCAGCACAGAACATTGTGTGCATTATTTGTATAGATATTGATGCTAATAACTAATCCACAGGTTTTAGCAGTTACACAACCTAAACTACATTAAAGAGAAAAATCACACTGCAGACAAATGGACCCAGTGATAATTTAGGAATGAGACAGAATCTTCTTTGACAGAATCTTCTCCACCACTCGAACTTAAAACCTATGTTCTATTGTGTAGGATGTGCTCTGTGTCATTTTTTTAATCTGCAAAGGAAATATTTATAAATGGAGGCTACTGCCAAAAGGATATTTTGCATTAAGAATTTCATTTATATTATATACATTATGGAGAGAATTCCCCTCCCTCAACATAACTCACTGTACTTTTTTCTTTCCATAATCTAAAACAGTAAGATATTTTCATACCAAAGTTAAATGTTGACTTTAATTGGTCTTCAGCTTTTAACAAATAGGGACTTTAGGGTTAGAGAATTACTAACAACAGGTAGTAAGTGTTTCCACATTAACTGACAGAGAATTAGAAGGTTTATTACATTTTTTTGTGTGTGTGTAAAGAAGGGTTATTTCTTCTTTTATTTTGCTGAAGCAGAGGAAAATGAAGCAAACCAATCTTTAATATTCATATAAAACAGGCAGTTTTCAGAAATCTGACAGAGATCTTGGTGGTTTCTACATTTAAACTGTTCACCTCATCTTTACTTCTTCCACTTCAGGCCTGGTATATGCTTTGTTAGAGTTTACTGTGTGGTCTGGAAATCTTGAAAATCAGTCTTTTTGTTTGTTTGTTTTTTCAAGGCAGAGGAGGAAGGTTACTTTGAAGCATTCAAAAATGAACTTGAAGCTTTCAAGTCAAGAGTCAGACTTTATTCTCAATCACCGAATTTTCAGCCTATGACAGTTCAGAATCATGTTCCCCATTCTGGTGTTGGATCTATAGCTTTATTAGAGTCCTTACCACAGGTAAGTTGAAAAAGTAAATATTTTATAAATGTATTTACATAATACTTGTTCTTTTGGACTTCTTTCTTCTTCTATGTGTGGTCATTTTAAATATTCTTGCCTCAAAAGATAACTCTGAGTTTCATCTCATGCCATGTTTTGGCATTAAGTCTCATCCATCTCTTGGGTATTTTAGAGACACACCAAATTCTGCTCTTTTAAATATAGAAGAGATGAGGACTATCTAAGCATTCTTAAGGGCACATGTTACCTGTTGATCATCTAAGTCATAACCTTCTCAAGATGGCTCCAACATCCCATCCTGAATAGAACTATACTGTTAAGAATTGAAGATGAATTAACTCCAAGCATATACCCAGGTAGCAACAGAGGTGATTTTTTGCATGAGTTTATTAGTATTATCTTTTTAAATGTTGGTGTGGCCTACCAGATACAACATTTTAGTACAAATTAATGTAACTTATGCTGAACTCTTATTTCTGGTAGTATTGGTCAACTGTTTAAGCATCTTAGAAGTCTGCAATTAGATTAAGATAAAATTATCTCACTAGCGTGAAAGAATTTATGTCAAAAAAAGGAAGTTGGACCACTGGACCTGCCTGATTCTACTTAGAATTACAATTTTAAGTTATCACTAGGAAGTTGCTGCCCATTTTGGTTTTAGTAGCATTTAAATTGAACCAATCATCTCTCATTTTCAGACCAGCTTTAGCATTTTAGCCTATTGCCTACATAGTGAAAGGGAAGTCTCACTCAGAAGACGGTATGAAGAGAGACCTGTATTTTTAATTCTCAAGAGCTGTAGGAATTGATATTTTTCAATGCCTTGACTTTATAGCTATAATTTCACTAGTTCCAGTTATTTGTAGGCCAAAGGGACAATTTAAGGAAAGCGATTGATCATATTTAACTCAGCCAAAAATATAATTCTTAAGGATAAGAAAGAAAATCTGATTTTTAAATAATTAGTAATGTTACCCCTTAGACAGACATGTAAGCGACATTCTCCCTCAGTTTGTCCTCAGATTACCTCTTAATGCTGTTTTAATAAGGTGATGATTTTCTCTGCAGTTGAATGTGGTCTTTAAGAAATTTTATGACTAAGTCACTGTCAAGTCCAACATACAAACCTCCTAAAACTAAGGTGTCACATAATGAATGCAGAGGAAAAAAAGAGACTTTTGAGGATGCACCTGATTCTAAACATAAGAGGGAAAAGAGAAGATTTCAGCTAGAGCCACAGAAACACAGTCATCTGCTTGAGGGAAGGATAAGATGGAAAACAACTTGAGGGGTCAACTTGTCAACTGAGAGGAGATTTGGAAGAAGAGCTTAAAATAACAGCTTATTTTTATTATATCAATTTATAGATTACAAAACACTTGTATGTGGTATCTCATTTAATCTTCTCAAAAAAACTCATTTTCATTTTATGGATGAATAAAGTGAAGCTCCTGTAGGTTAAGTAGCCTGCTTGAAGTCAATACAATAAGTGATGGAGCTATTATTCTAATCCTGGATTTTTGTCCTACTCCACTGCTCATTCACCTACATCATAAACTGTTGAATCACATACTAGAAATATGACAGGATGCTCAGTTGTGTGCTCTTGGGAAGAACTGGTCTCTGAGACAATAAATGTATTGAGAATGTTACTGGATGAGAATATGGGGTAGTCAGTGGGATTTAAGTGTACATTAGGTTAGGTATATTGATTGCTTTTTGTTTTTTTAAGTCTCCTCAGTTCTTAGGGCTTCACTAGTGGTTCAGCAGTAAAGAATCCACCTGGAATTCAGAAGATGCGAGTTCGTTCCCTGGGTTGGGAAGATCCCCTGGAGAAGGGAATGGAACCCGCTCCAGTATTCTTGCCTAGGAAACCCCATGGACAGAGCAGCCTGGCAGGCTGCGGTCCATGGGGTTGCAAGAGTCGGACATGAACCCACCATCACTGCCACCTTCAGTTCTTAAGGAGATGGGTAGATGAATTTTAAAGAATCTCTTTAGCTACCTCTAATAGTCAAAATTCTCTCATAAAAACTGGAACCTAGTCGGAACTGTAAGCTCTGTTGGACCTGGGTGGTCAGAAAAGGTCTTAGCAGCCTGTCGCTTTGGAGAATGGGATAATTTAACAAGCTATTAATAATTTTTTATAAAACTTAAATTTGGATAACAGTTTAGCTTTTAATCTCTTTTTTAAATTGACAACAATCTTATGAGATAGACCAAATACCATTATCCTTAATTTTGAGAGAACTGAACCAATGCCCCCTGAACAGAGATGTAAGTAACAGTTACCTTAGGCTTATCCTATATACTAGCTTTTACTGTTACTCAATTTTGATGAATTATTTTCTCTGAGGATGGCATTATACTAAGTGGAAGAGTCAGGGTTAGAATTTAGGTCCAAGGTTACTTTAGTGTACCAGACTTCAGGCAGTTATTTGTGCCACTCCCTTCATAAAAAACCTTATTGACAATAATCCAATAACTTTCTTGTTCATTTTTTGACTTTTACAATAAAAGAATCACAAAGTATTGTACTTAATAAAAAGATATTTGAGAACGCTTCCTCCCTCTGGCATGGAGAGATCTGATATCTATGCCCTGTATGGACTGTTTTCCTCATTGATGTATATTAAATAAACAGATGAAAGTAGGTGATTCATAATAAAACTAAATAGCTAGGAGATATTCAGAACAACTGAGTAGACAAAATTGAATTATTGGAAGAATTTCCTTAAAGTCTTGGGTCTTAAGGGCTTATGTCTCTATTCATGGTGCTTTAGTAATAGTGGTTTTATTTTTGCATTTATTGAAAAAGGTTTTCTGTTCCTAGTTTTAGAAATGAACAAAATTAGAACATTTTTGAGTTCTTCTGTTTAAAAAAATAAAACCTAAATTACACTGTTCTTTTGTTTTCAACTTTTTAAGTACAAGTCTCTTTCAGATGATTTCTCACTTGAGTTTGTTTTAATCTCTGAGAAACCAAAATAGATTCTGAAGGTAGCTATAACTTTCACTTAGTAAATAGATTTTTTTTACCTTATTCTAGTGTTTTTGTAATTTTAATATTTACTATTATAATTAGATAGTAATCATCATAATACCTTGCTGGCTTAAAGCCATCTTTTAAATTGTCAATAGCTGTATACATATAATCACATAGATATAGCTTTATATGATTAGTTAAAATTATAGTTTTCTTAAATGAAGGGAAGAGGTAGTGTTTATTACATTTCTTTTATATATATATCATTCTGTCTTTGTCACATCTCTTTGGGTTAAGTGGTAGTAATCTATTATTTTTTTCTTTATCATCTCGGGTTTCAACCAAAGTCTGACTTCAGTGTTCATCTTTTTTTCTATTCTGCTATATTGCAGAGAGAGAATGTGAAACTGAATATGCAGTTGCATGTACTGACAAAACTGATGATCATCCATTCTTTCCTCTCTATACTTTTCAGAATCCAGATTATCTTCAGTATTCTATCAATACAGCTCTCTGCAGTTTAAACTCAGTGGTACATAAAGAAGATGATGAACCGAAAATGATGGACACTGTATAATTTGGTTAAGACTGCTGAAGCCAAGTACTATTTTGTTACAAGAAAGGAAGAACTTGGCTATTTTCTTGACACTTTTATGGGTGCTGCACTTTATTTTTGTTCGGTTTTTGATGGGAGGGAAAACAGAGTACTGAAACAGTTTTGTAAAATTTTTTTTATGTGCTGCTAGGTTTTTTTTGTTTGTTTTGTTTTTTCCTGAAGAGAGGAGTGGTACCATATGTTGCAAGAAGTCAAACTGGACTTTTTTGGGGTTTTTTGGCTATTAATTTGCCTTTAATCTTACTGTTCTCAATTTTGGAATCAAGGTATGAAAATCTGCACAAATGAAATGTTTACAAGAACTGGTTGATTCTAGGAGGCATCTGCTACAGTCTTTTTATATGGATATGTACATGTCCTACTCTACAAAAATGATTAAAGATTAAAATGTATCCTATTGCTAATTTAGCTGTCAAATCTGGTGTTTCATCATATTAAAAGCAATAAATCAGTAGTTGATAATCTGCTTTACTAAATAAGCTGGGTAGTACAAATTAAAACAAGTCTTTCCCCTTAAAATAATACATTTGTTTCTTCAGCACCATCAGTTAAATCCTTGACTATAGTATCAATTTTATATGGATACTAAATTAACCCCCAAGTATTCTCAGACATATTTCCCTTAGAAGTTGGTTTTACCCTATTTGACATTTTAGTATTAGGGTTATATAGTGATATAAAAAGTGATAAAACTCATAACAGATTTTTTTTTTTCATAGTAAGAGCCAACTTCAGTTCACTCTTAATTTCTTGACATAGTCTGGGATCTCTCAGGGAGCAAGTTTTAAAAGAACTAATGGTCTAAAAAAAAAAAGAACTAATGGTCTATAAAACAAATAAGAAGAAAAATCTGATTTTTTGAGTTACAGTTATTGTTTTACTCTGATGTGGCCCAAAGACCTTTTTAAAAGGCAAGAGACATCTTCTGACATGAACTCCTTATTTCTAAGAATTTGGTGATCCTTATTGCTAATGATGGCTTTTACTACATTGGTCATTCCTCTCTTTAGCTCAGTTACCATAGAATGCTTCTGAGCTTTAATACTTACCTATATAATTCACTTTAAATATGCCAGGATATTTGATGATTCATTTTACTAGGAATGAGATGACAATTAATTATGCTGTCCTTATTATTTAAGGATTAACCTTCTGACTTACAGGAACATGAGCTTTGATTTGCATCAGATGTAGTCTTTGGTGGCTCGGTCCCATTGGGACTAGTAGTAAACATGTAGGAGATGACCAAACGGCATTTGGACTGCACATCTCAATTTGAGAAGCCGCCTACATGGTGATCAGATCTGTGATGGCGGCTTCACTTGCACCTTGTTTTACACTAACCTGAGGTGATAAGGCACTTAGTACTCATAGAAACGGATTGGAGTTATTGAATCATACATATGTAACATCACAATCTTCCTGGTTTTCAGAATAAAACTTGTTTTTGTGCTTTTAATATATACTCTATAATAAAATGTTTGACTAATTTATGTGGTAGCATTCATCAGCCGGTATTTATTTTTTTTTTAACCAATGACCTAGTTATAGAAGTTTTCTGCTGCTGCTTTTTTTCCTATTTTGGAGCAAGCTCTTGTTTTTTCTGTCATATCAAATGGAGAATGAACATAGGAATAAAATTGCCAGCTTCATAGTAAAGTAACTTGAACCATTACTTTCTATTTCTCAACCTCACTTTTCCCCAGGATTTGCCTGTAAGCTCTAAATTGTTTTTAGTTTCATTTTGCCTTAAATTAGAGATATTAAAAACTGAAGATTGGAAGGAGGGAAATTATCAGCAAACTGAATTACACTATTCCTGAAGGATATTTTTGGTTTTTATTTTCTAAAATACAAATTATTTAAGAACTATTTAAAATTTGGTTATGTATATGCTTTTACTTAGGAAAGTGTTGTATGTTTTCAATGTGAAAGTGATTGGATTTATTTTGGGAACTACTGACTGATGCCATAATTTGCACCTAAAGACTATCTTACAGTTTAGCAGTACTTTAGTACTCAGAACAATAAGTTGACATCCTTTTTATTTTTCTTTATTTTGCTAAGAACGAATTCCTATTAGGAGAAATGTCTGTTTCTTAAATAATAAGGGTATACTAAGCAAAGGAATAATTTTTCAGGTTGCACAATTTTCTCCAAATTATACAAACCATGGAAAATCTAAACAAATGAAGTATCTTCAGAGTGCCTATCAGAGATTACTTCATTTGATAAATTAATCTAATAAAAGATATTTTTTAAATAGCTATCTCTACAGTCCTTGTTCAGTTTTATCAGTGGTGGTAGATATAACACTGATTTAAATCAAACATTATTCTCTAGGAGACAGATGAGTAATATTCTCATCCATTTATACTGTGGGTTCTTTCAAATTTTGCCTAGTGAGCTCACATTATGTAATTTCTCTCGGAAAATTGGGACTTCTGTCAGACTGGCATCCCTATTACCCTTTTAAAAGTGAACTGAAATGGTGCCCAAAAAACATAGTTCAGTAGTGGCTTTACAAGATGAAAACATTGATTGTGAGTTTAGGCAAAATGATTCTGAAGTTAATCTTGGGGTATTTTCAGAGAAAAATAAGAAGATGTCAGTTTACTGTTCTCAAAGTTGGTCATGTATTTCAGTTCTTAAACTGATACAGGACAGAAATGTACTTATCTCAATTGAGGGTCAGGCTTTTCATTTCAGTTTTGCTACTATATCCTACGCATTTTAAAAGTCTGCACATTCATTTCCCATCTGTAGTGGACATGTATGTGCTATTTCACAGGTCTTCTGAGAAGCTGACTCATCTAATAAGTATTTGCTTGCTTACTATGTAAGCCGATGGCAGGGGGAGGTGCAATGATGAATAAAAGTTGATTATGAATTGCTTACAATCTAATAATGAAGTTGAAACCATTGTCATAAGCCTCAAAGAATAAGACTTAAAAGTTTTCGTCTTTTCTAAGTATGAAATTGATTTTTTTTAAATTCCCACATATTTCACTTGTTTCTTTAAATGACATTTGTCATGCTACTTTTCAAACACTTTATAATAGTCCTTTGGTAAAATATGACACATCACCAAACTTATTCACACTTTGTGACATTCTTCCACCATGCAATTTCACATGTATAGCAATTTTAACTTTTTACTCAGTGCTAAATGTGGTCATTAATGAGCTGAAAGGAAAAAAAAAAAAGCTATAGCTGAATGTGGACTCTCTACAAAGTATCTTGGCTTTTACCAGGAGCTTTAAACACAGATTATTCTGTGTTTAAAAATTTTAAACTATAACTTCTAAAATCAGAACCTTGAATTGCAAAGATCGGAAGGCTGTTTTTGCAGTTGACCAGTGTCTTTTTTCCTTTTGTCAATGAAAAGACAACTTATAAACATGTTTTAAAATTTATTGCTGTTGAATATTATAGCCATTCAATATAATGAGGCCTTTAATTACTATGATCTGTTAACATAGCTAAGTTTTGTCACAAACTGAATGTTCAAAATATTTTGCTCAAATGCCATTGAAAATAGCTGGAGAGAAGTAGTTGTGGGGCAGGGTTTAGAAATTTAGACTATTTGAATAAGAAATGGAAATAAACAGAAAAAGAAATGAATTAAGAAATAAAATTTCTTGATGGTACTGCCAATTTGCATTTCCCACAACATACTCTGCTTATGAAAGGTGTACCAAAATTACTGTGGTGCTGTAGAAAACAGGGTAATGGTTTGAAGTCTTACTAGCTTTTAACAAAGGCACAGTAGCTTCTGGCCTTGGCAGTCAGCTCTGGACATATTTCCATGTGGCACACAGATCATAATGATAGGTATTACAGCAGAAAACAAGTTCTTTTTGTAATAGCACAGGTGTTTCCCAAAGTCATGGATGTATGCAAAACTTCAGTTTTGGGAGTGGAGAGGAAATGGTCACAGGAAGGGCAGGTCTTAATTTTCATACCATGTTCTTTTTTTTTTTTCTTTTCTTTTTCTCATTTATATTAGTTGGAGGCTAATTACTTTACAATATTGTAGTGGTGCACTAGGATTTTCATAGCCATGTTCTTCTATCCCTCTTCTTGATTCCCAAATCTCCTAACAGTGTCAAGAAGGCCAGTATGGCTGCAATCCTGCAGCAGGAAACAAAGGGTAAAATGAAACCAACCTATATATGTAAAACTGTTCTAAGACGACTATTAGAAAGCAGAGACTAACTCAGAAGCCAATGAGACATGGGGGCAATAAAGGGAAGGTGAGTTAAGAGTGGGCCCTGTGAGTTACCAAAGACCAAGTAATATCCACAGCTCTGAATTTTCATTTAATGCTAATTCATTGATAACACTGGATAATCAGTACCCAACATTTTTAGAATGTACATACTAACATTCAAATAAAGCAGCTATGTGAATGTTTACCATAATCCTTTTTTTAAAAAGCTTCAGTACATTTTTGAAAGATCAATACTGAACTTTTAAAAATCAAAGAAAAGTCAGCTTTTTTTCCCCACAAGATACATAAGAATCACTTGGTAGCATCTGTATTTTCAGTGCCTGGAATAAAATGGGGCAAATTTCCAAAGGCAGTATGATAACAGCTTACACACTGACTTGTTTCATTTAATCTAGCACCAAGTAAGAGAATTGAAGATATTGTCAGATTTCTCCTTCACCTCTCATATTGCCCCACTCTTCCTACCAAGCTACCACTGTACATAAGCATGCATCCTGTTACCCCTCTAAGGAATCAAATCATTTTCATTTCAAAGTGGCTGCCCAGGTTACATTCACTGGCAGAGTTCTTCCCCATTAAGAAAGGATAGCAGTGAACAGGAGCAGGTGTCAACTTCTTTGATTAGGAATAAAGAACTCTTCTAAGCAAAATCAATGAGTTTCCTGGTTCTTTTTAATATGTTGTGTGAATCCTTGTAATTCCTACACTTGTTTACTAATTATGATTGTTATAATTGCCTGGGTTTCCCCCAGGCAAACCTGATCTATTTCCTAACGACAAAGTATGCTTACTTAACCTAATGCCACGAGTCTCCTTTCCTTTCTCCCCTGCCTGCCTGCCTGCCTTCCATTTGCTACTCATCAAGACAGATCATACATTGGGATCAAAAAAGAAACTGGCAAGTAGGTCCTAAAGTGCACATTTTTCAACCTGAATAACTTCTGAAAACAGAGTTTAATTACATATTCTGTTGAAAATTCAACTTTGGTGCTTTTCCAAGAATTTACGATGTCAATTTCTAACAAGTCATATCCCTCAGTAGACAAGGTTTTTCAAAAGAAAATAAGAGATAGGAAAATACATTTCGCTATGCGCTAATTGGTACATTTTTATAGCAAACAAAATCTGGAGTAAAGTGAAAGTGTGTTTAAAAACAACAAAATACAGGATATGTGGTTACCAAAAGGTTGCTAGTGTAAAGTGTAAAAAAAGCCCAGAAACCTCAGTAGTCAGGAGACCACAAGGGGGAGCTCTCATCCCTTGTGAAGACAGCATAGCGCAAAAGGAAGAAGACAAGACTTCTGGCAAGGACTCAGCCAACAAAAAGCCATGGACTTGTTTACTACAGCCCTCCCAACTTCCTTTTCTCGTCTATGAAAGTATTGTCATTCCCATGCTGTGGGGAGGACTTGCACCCGGCTCACCATGGTTGAGACTCCAAATTGCAATTATCTGCTGATTCCGAATAAACCCATTTTGCTGGAGAAATATCTGGCAATCTGTTTGAGGTCAATAAAAGGCAGCAGTGAATTTGCATCCTGCAACTAATCTATAAATTCAGTTGCTTTTTTCTCCCCCCAGGAATTCCATTTGACAGTGTCCCACAGTTTGTGTGTATCACAGTGCTAGAGGTCTCTTTTTTCACATCACTATCCACAAAAGCCTCTGATAAGATACTTTCCACAAGTGAAAGGGAAGTTTTTTTTTTTACTTTTCCAGAAAAATAAGGAAACTTTATCCACCACTTCTTTTCTGAACAAAACTTAGATTACCAATTGCCCTTTCAATTACACTCAACAATTTTCAAGTCTAGTTAGACATTTATAATGTTTTATAATTGTGCTAATTAAATTCTAATTTTATCTAGTTAGAAGGTAACTAGATACAACACACTAAACATTTCAGAAGATGAATCTTCATAACTGACTCATTTGGCACATCCTTAATTTCCAGGATAAAATCAGCAGAAATGAAACTAACATAATTTTCAAAGAATTTATACAGGCCAGAGTCTTAGGACAAGGAACTTCTAAATGCAAAAGACAAGGAGCTTCTGCTCATCTTCCTAGTTACATGCACTTTTCCTCATGGAGTAACTGATGTTTCCTGGTTTCTTTGTGGAAGTTTTGTTTGTAGGAAAGCATAAACGTGTGGCCAGATCTTGTTGGTTTCTGTTCCAGAGAATGTTTCCAACACCCCTTTTTTCCTAAGGATAAAAAACAAGACAGGTCTGACTATAAAAAAAAGATCACAGGCCAGTATCACAAATGAACATAGATGCAAAAATCCTCAGCAAAATATTAACAAACCAAATTCAACAGTTAAGGATCATATACCATGATCAAGTGGCATTTGTCCCAAGGATGGTTCAATACATTCAAATCAATGTGATATACCACATTAACAAATTGAATAAAGATCATATGATCATCTCAACAGATACAGAATAGCTTTTGACAAAATTTGACATCCATTTTTGATAAAACTCTCAACAAAGTAGGTATAGAGGGAACATACCTCAGTGTAATAAAAGTCATATATGACAAACCTAGAGCCAATATAATAGTGAAAAGCTGAAGGGATTTCCTCTAAGATCAGAAACAAGACAAAGATGTCCACTCTCACCAGTTTTGTTTTGGAATTCCTAGCCATAGCAATCAGAAGGGNTGTTTTTTGGGGGGGGGGGGGGGGGGGGGGGGGGGTCCAAATAGGAAAGGAAGAACTAAAACTGTCACTTCAGCAGATGACATGATACTACATATAGAAAAGCCTAAAGATGTCACCAAAAAACTATTAGAAGTAATAAATGAATTTAGTAAAGCTTCAGGGTACAAAATTATAGAAATCTGTTGCATTTTTATACACTAATTAACTATCAGAGAAATTAAAACAATCCCACTTACAACTGCCTTTAAAAAAAAAAAAAACAGGAATAAATCTAATCAAGCAGGTTAAGAACCTATACTTGGAAAACTATAAGGCACTGATGAAAGAAACTGAAAAAGACATTAAAAAATGGAAAGACATATCTTGCTCATGGATTGGAACAATTAGTATCGTTAAAATGACCATACTATGCAAGACAATCTATGGATTCAATGCAATTCCTAACAAAATACCAACAGCATTTTTTTTTAATGTTTGTTTATTTTTGGCTGTGTTGGGTCTTTATTGCTATGCGGGCTTTCTCTAGGTGCAGCAAGTGAGGGCTATACATGGTGCAAGGGCTTCTCATCGCAGTGGTCCTCCTGTTGCAGAGCACAGGCTCTCGGGCAGGCACATGGGCTCAGTAGTTGCAGCTCACAGGCTCATTAGTTGTGGCGGGTGAGCTCAGCTACCCCGTGTCATGTGGGATCTTCCTGGATCAGGATCAAACCAGTATTCCTTGCATTGCAAAGTGATTTCCTAACCACTGGACCACCAGGGAAACCCCCACTGGCATTTTTCATGGCACTAGATCAAAAATTCTAAAATCTGGATACACATAAGATCCGGATAGCCAAAACAATCTTGAGAAACAATGGAGCTGGCGACATCATGCTCCCTGACTTCAGACTATACCACATAGCCACACAGTAACCAAAACAGTAATGGCACTAGCACAAAACCAGATACACAGATCAATGGAAGAGAATAGGTAGCCCAGAAATAACCTGCAGTATGGTCAGGTTAATCTATGACAAAGAAGGCAAGAATACACAAGGGAGAAAAGACAGCCTCTTCAATAAATGGTGCTGGAAAAACTGGACAGCTACACACAAAAGAATAAAACTAGATTACTTTCTCATACAATATAAATAAAATCAAGAAGGATTAAAGACCTAAATGTAAGACCTGAAGTCATAAAAATTCTAGAAGAAAACACAGGCAATACACTCTTTGAAATCAGCCTTAACAATATATATACAACATGTATATATGTTGTGTGTAATATATACATATATATATATATGATATATATATATATTGTGTGTGTATATATATATATATATAGGATCTGTCTCCTCAGGCAAGGGAAACAAAAGCAAAAATAAACAAATGGAACTACATCAAACTAAAAAGATTTTGTATAGCCAAGGAAGCTCAATAAAATGAAAAGACAGCCTACTGAATGGGAGAAGATATTAGAAAATGATATATCTGATGAGAGGTTAATATCCAAAATATACAAAACCCAACATCAAAAAATAAACAACCTGATTTTAAAATGGGCAGAAGACCTTAACACGTCTTTTTCCAAAGACATAAAGATGGCAAACAGACACATGAAAAGATGTTCGCCATCACTAGTCATCAGGGAAATACAAATCAAAACCAAAATCAGATCAACTCACACCTGTCAAAATGGCTTTTATCATTAAAAAAAAAAAAAAAAAGGATAGGTTGGATAGGTTGAGGACTTCCCAATTCAGGTTCAATCCCTGAATAGAGAACTAAGATTGTACATGCCACTTGGCATAGCCAAAAATAAATAAATAATTTCTTTTTTTTAAAGATAATAGTGTGGATTTAATGGTCTCAGTAAGTACAGATCTGTGTGATCAAGAATGAAAGGCACTTGGCTGGGTGTTAGAAAACCCAGAGTTTGGTTTCAGTTGTGCCCTCTGGCTAATAGAAATGGTCACTTAAGATGCATCTATCATTTTCTGAGCACATGCTAAGTGCTTTACATATAATAATTTAATCCTATTTAAAGCTCAAGTTTCATTATTTTACTGAAGAAGCTGTATTAGGGATGTAAAGTAATGACCTGAATCACCAAAATGGTAGTAGGCTTCAAAACACAGGTCCTGTCAGACACTAGGGCACCCTTGGCTTTCTTTTGTCTGCTTGCCTCTTTGCAAGACAGCTTCCTAATACCTGACGATCCTTCCTTCTTTCACTTTTTTTTTTTTCCTCTGTGCCCTCCTTCTGAATTTTCAAGGAAAGGGGAATTCTAGAATGTTGTTTTTATCGTGTTTCCTACTGGGTTTCTCCATTTCTTCCCAGACAGATTTGTCTGGCTTTTTACCAGGCCAGCAATCAAAGTCTGTATTCACTTGTTTCCTTGAGGTTCAACGGTGAGAAAGATCAAAATCCAGGGGTTGTTTTTCAAAACAGAAAAATTCCTGCCCGAGATTCTGGCATTCCAATTGTTTATCCTCCTCCTCCAACTACTCATATACACACTGGCTTTAAGGCTGCAGAAGAGCAAATGAAGAACTCTGGTTTATCACTTTCTAAAAATAGGATCAGTCATACCTCTGCAAGTTTTTCACTAGATTTTAAGATGTTTCACTGGGAACAAAAACATTCCTTTATGCATCCCTCATAAGATTTGCCACAGTTAAAGACTAACTTAAATAATTCCCACTGTTTTCTGGGTTAAGAAAGATCTGCTAAAGCCCTTCTGCTTCTAAGTTCACAAGCATCTTTTCACAAGTTTTCAATAGAACAAGCTTCTTAACTGTTGGTGGCTCTCTTGAAGAGCCACCTTAAAATCAAGCCTATGTCACAAGTGGGTTAACAGGTTGCTTCCAAGGGAACAACTATACACACCTATTCAGTCCTAAGGCTGAACCCTGAACGAACATTTGTCACCTTCATTTCTATGTAATAACATGGAACTAGCTTAAGCTATTGGTCCTCTAAAAAGAGCATCATGTTGCTTGTAAACAGGGACCTAGTTATACTATCAAATGTCCCACAGCTGAGACAAGTTTTAAAAGCAACAATGTAACTGTCAGTATTTTAAAATAACAATGCTGATTCTCACTAAGGTTATTGCAAATACCACTTTAAACTGTTGGTTAAGTCCAGTCCTAGTTCTATGTACAGGAGCTTAGAGGGAAAAGTTTCGATTAATGGCAAGAGGTAGCAAAAGCCAGAAGCTCAGAAAGACTAGTGTATCTCCTGAGATAGGGACCCGTGACATACACTTCATCTCTACAGCCTTCCTCAACTTCCCCTCCCACATTTTACAGAACTAATGCCTACAACCACTGTACTTCCACTGCATTCAGTCATGACTTCTGTTAATAGCCTCATAGTGTTGTTATCAGCTCAGCAACAATGTGCTCTCCCTTCTTCTGATTACTTTTGAATGAATAACAAACCTCTTTCGGGAAACAACCTTTTCACTAAATTCAGTCCATGAAACTCAGATGGGATAGTCCCCACCTCCCAGCTTCAAGGATGGACATGATCAGAGCTAGTTAGTGCCAACTCCAACTCCATGACTTTTGAGGGCACAGAGACTCTCTTTTTCTGGGGTAGATGAACTGAAAGAAGATGAGCTGGAATGTTGAGGCTCACAGAGGGAGAGCCCACCTGAGATTGATGCCAACACAGGAAAACAAAGCTAAGAGTGACAGAGGCCTGATGACTGTTTGAACACCTGGACCCAAACCATCTACCTTTGGACTCTTCAGTTACATGACCAATAAATTTCCCTTTTGCTAAAGCTTGTGTGAATTGGGTTCCTGATTGATATAAGCACATATCACACTGTATGACAAATACTGTTTACCCAGCACTTTGCCTCACAAAGAAAGGTGAGTTTCTTTGGGGTTTGGCAAAGACTGGGTCTAATTATCTGTGTGGATCACTGGCCTAGCATAGTGTCCACAGGGTAAACAACACATTCATCAATACTAAGTGATTCAACAGTGCCAGGACTGTTTTTAAGTCTTTGTATGGATTCTCTCATTTAATTCCCTTAACAACCCTATAAAGAAGGTACTATATAATAATTGCTCTGATTTTACAAATGAAGAATTCATGGCACAGATATTCAAACACCTTGCCCAGGGCCACACAGCTGGTAATCTGCAGGAGCCAGGCTCATTATATAATCACAATATTACACTAACAGCTAGTGAAGAAAGTGAATTGCCAACTTCCTCGTAATTTCATCCTCCAGAAATAACTCTTAAAATAATTTGGAGACTGCTACTTCTGAATTCACTGCATAGTTACCCAATTACAACAACAGTAATAGCTAATAATCATATAGTGCTTAATGTGTGTCAGACACAATTCTAAGAATTACACATGTTAACTCCACCTTTCAACCCTCCAGTCTCAATCCCATTTTGCATGGAAAAAAACAGAGGTTAAGCAAGAAGTTAAGGCCAAGTTAATAAATGGTGAGCTGGGATTTGAACTTAGGCACTCTGGCTCTAGAGTCAGTACTCTAACCACAGCACTGTCCTGTCTTAATGTTGAGTCACTATTCAGTAAGTGAATGAATAAAGAAAAGTGAATGTAATCAACCCTCTGTTAGGAGAGGGGAAGGCTGAATAAAGAAAGAGAATTGTTTCTTGGCCCGAGTCAAACACTAATTCACTAGAGTTCCTGTATTTGTGGTGGGATATGAATTCCCTGAGGAGTTAACAAAACTATGTAAAAATGAAAACTTTTAAACACTATTTGCCAAATAAATGATCTGAGGACTAGTTGCCCTTTGAGAGGCTTTTGTGCTATAGTTTCCTCTATCATCACAGGGAGTGGGCACCGTTAGCTTTGCCTTCCTGGCGTTCACGCCAGCCCTCCCTCCACCGGATAGCAGAGTTTGGGTGAGACTGACCCACTGCCTGCTCTGGGTATGGACCAATCAACACAATCTCTCCCATCCTAGTGACTGGCTCAGAAATGCACAGTAACCTAGGCCTAAAATGTAAGGCATTCTCTGACCACAGTAGCTGCTCAAGTTGGTTAACTCTAGCACTTCTGTTCACTGGAGGAAAGGTGACCCCTCACCCTTTCATAAAGAAGATGCTGTGCCTGCTCCTAGCAACCGTCAGCAACTATGCAGGAAATATAAGGACAGAGCCAATACAAAGCAGAGATGAGCAAAATTCTGATCAAACCTGGGGGCAGCTGAAGCCCAAACTACCTTCTGGATTTGTTACACAAATAAATTTCCTTTTATTACTTAAACTAATTCAGGTTGAATCTTCTGGTATTTTAGCATTTTGGCTGGAAGGCATGAAAGATCAGAAAATGATTTAGTGATTCATCATATAAGAGAAGTTCTGAAAAGCCACCAACTCACCGGTAGTACTCCAGGACAGGCTCTGTTTGGGCTTCGTAAGCTTTCAGTCTCTTGACAACTGTCTCTGGTCTATCATCCTCACGCTGAACAAGAGGCTCCCCAGTCAGATCATCAATTCCCTAAATGGGAGTTAGAAGGGCTGGCATCAACTATCATAGTTTTGAAGGATATTTTTATAGGTAGTTAACTGATTTGTAAACAGACATCTATGTAAGCACCAAACACAAAAATGTGCTTTTTAAATAAATGGAATCAAATTCAAACCCAGGTCATTGCAACACAGAGCCATGAGACCCTAGCAACGTTTCCACGGTGGCAATCACCTTCTCTTTAGAGAAAAAGGGTCTTCAATCAAAAAATGGGCCAAAGACTCAACAGACATTTCTCCAAGGAAGACATACAGATGGCTAACAAACACATGAAAAGATGCTCAACATCACTCATTATCAGAGAAATGCAAATCAAAACCACAATGAGGTACCATTACACGCCAGTCAGGATGGCTGCTATCCAAAAGTCTACAAGCAATAAATGCTGGAGAGGGTGTGGAGAAAAGGGAACCCTCTTACACTGTTGGTGGGAATGCAAATTAGTACAGCCACTATGGAAAACAGTGTGGAGATTTCTTAAAAAGCTGGAAATAGAACTGCCATATGACCCAGCAATCCCACTTCTGGGCATACACACCAAGGAAACCAGATCTGAAAGAGACACGTGCACCCCAATGTTCATCGCAGCACTGTTTATAATAGCCAGGACATGGAAGCAACCTAGATGCCCATCAGCAGACGAATGGATGAGGAAGCTGTGGTACATATACACCATGGAATATTACTCAGCCATTAAAAAGAATTCATTTGAATCAGTTCTAATGAGATGGATGAAACTGGAGCCCATTATACAGAGCGAAGTAAGCCAGAAAGATAAAGACCATTACAGTATACTAACACATATATATGGAATTTAGAAAGATGGTAACGATAACCCTATATGCAAAACAGAAAAAGAGACTCAGATGTATAGAACAGACTTGTGGACTCTGGGAGAAGGCGAGGGTGGGATGTTTCAAGAGAACAGCATTGAAACATGTATATTATCTAGGGTGAAACAGATCACCAGCCCAGGTTGGGTGCATGAGACAAGTGCTCGGGCCTGGTGCACTGGGAAGACCCAGAGGGATCGGGTGGAGAGGGAGGTGGGAGGGGGGACCGGGATGGGGAATACATGTAAATCCATGGCTAATTCATTTCAGTGTATGACAAAACCACTGCAATGATGTAAAGTAATTAGCCTCCAACTAATAAAAATAAATGGAAAAAAAAAAAAGAGAGAAAAAGGGTCTTTAAGCAGCCTCTAAATAATTTTGTATTATATATTACATGTATATTGTGTATATTATATTATGAAAAAAAGTGAAAGTGTCAGTTGCTCAGTCGTGTCCAGCTCTTTGCAACTGTAGCCATCAGGCTCATCTGTCCATGGGATTCTCCAGGCAAGAATACTGGAGAGGGTTGCCATTCCCTTCTCCAGGGGATCTTCCTGACCCAGGGATCAAACCCGGGTCTCCTGCAGTGCAGGCAGATTCTTTACCATCTGAACCACCAGGGAAGCCCGTGATATTATACATATACAAAAAGGATTCAGCTATAGATTGAGAATCTGAACTGTAAGCCCTAAATAACCCAAGGTGTCATTAATCCCTACTGCCCTGAATCTAAGCACACCACCTGGCAGAGTAGAAAATCAACACATATTTTTGAAGGAACAACAAACCCCTGTTGCTCTGGGGATGTCTTTACCACCAAGCTGACTGGACTAAACCAGCAGACTACACAAGTAATCTGAGACCATGCCCTCTGGAGTTCTGGTCATCCAAGAGTATCAATGTTATCTTTGAGGGCAACTGTCTCCAGATGACAAGAGGTCATCTGTCATCTGGAGACAGCTGGCTACGCAGAAGGCCGAGTCAGTTCGACCCCAACTACTCACCACGGTTTTGGGAGGGTTGAACTCGATGTTGTAGACACGGCCGCTGCCTGGATGGATCCAGCGAGCAGTAAGGCGCTGCTTGATGACCTCAAAAGGCACATTCAGGTTAATGACTGTGTCTATCTGATAGGCTCTATCCAGGGCTTCTGCCTGCGGAAGTGTCCTTGGAAAGCCTTTACAAATTAAGTTAAAAATGAACAAAGAAAGAAAGGGCCGAGGGGAGACAGGGGAGAAGGAAGAAAATTAATGTTGAGCAACTTGAACAGAAGCAGTAACACCAGGAAGGCTGATGACACTTGTAGGGCAACTCTAATAGTTAATACTTTATATGTTACCTTGTCCAGACCACAGGATGCTCAAATGGTTGGTGAAACAATATTTTGGACATGTCTGTGAGGGTGTCTTTGTCGGGGGGTCGGGGTGGGGATTAACATTTAAGTCAGTTGACTGAGTAAAGCAGACTATTATCCCTAATGCGGGTGGGTCCCATCTAATCCACTGAGGGCTTGGACAGAACAGAGGGCTGGCCCTCTCCAGAAGATAAGGGGGATTTCCTCCTACCTGACTGCCTTGGGGGGAGGGGGAGGGATATGGCTTTTTCCTGCCTTTGGACTCAAACAGCGGGTCTTCCTAGGTCTCACCAGCCTTCAGACACCATCACACTACCAGCTCTCCTGGGTTCCCAGCTTCCTGACCCACTTTGAATATCTTGAGACTTCTCCACCTCATAATTGTGTGAGCAAATTCCTTGCAGTAAACACCTCCCTCTAAAAACTAAAAATCAACCTATCCTCAAGGATCCCATGGCACCTCCGGCTGGGGAAAGTTTACATCTCACTGTAAGTTACCCTCCGTCCTTCCTTCTTCCTTCTCTGATCCTCCCTCATCCTAAATATCCTCAAAAAGGGGAGAAGGAACAAAAGTCATATCTGAAGGAGCTTAGAAATAATGCAGTGCACTTCCCTCTTTGCATTTAAAAAAAGACGCAGGACAGAGAAGAAGACTGGCCCCCGAGGCCCCACGGTCAGGAGTGGCAGCACACAGTCCTCCTGCCCACCATCTGTTTCTGTAGCGCGTGAAATGCTCACTCTCCAGTCTGCATGCATCCTTTTGGGCAGCTGAAATATTCTCAATACTCCACCTACCATCCAACAGCCAGCTATATTGGGTGAGATTTTTCAGCTCATGAAGGACCAACCGAGTCATGACGTCATCTGGGATGAGCTTCCCTTGGTCAATGAAAGTCTTGGCTAAAACACCAATTTCTACATTAGAGGCAGGGAAAAAAAGGCAAGTCAGCAAGTGCATTTATTCTATCCCATTCTAAGCCTCTAGGAAACTGGCTGCCTAAAGAAGCCCCCTGGGTAACACACTCATCTGAAAATGTGCGCCATCAACTTTTGTGATAAAAACAGAGATTGTAAATAATCGATGCCTATTTCAAACTTTCCATGATATAAAAATAGATAAATGTAAAAATAATGAAAAGATATAAAGCAATATGTTAGCAGTAATCATCTCTGTGATAGAATTATGTGATTTAATATATTACTTTTACTGTATTTTTCTAAATTTTCTATCAGAAAAAATATGTATACTAAAATTATTTTCTTTTTAAAAAAGAAATTGAAAGTCATTATTTTTAAGTGGCTCAGTTTAAGTACCTGAGATACTTGTTACTCTAGATATTTTTCTAATCCTCTAAAGTAGATGTTGTTGTCACAATTCAGTTTTTGACCAGATCAGCACTGTGATTGCTACATTTTTATAAATAAAATACACTGAAAAGCATTTATGAACACTTTAAAATATTACCTACAATTATATGTTATGCTTATGCAACAGTATTTTAATTTTCTCATCATCTGTTGGCAAATTATTTGCACACATACAGAATTTGTAATGCCACCGTAATAATCTGTGCACTTACAATTTTGCGTTTGTTCACTTAACCATCATTTTGTAGGTACTTTTCAGTGATTTTATATAGTCATTCAGTCATTTTTGGAAAATATATCTATATTTGATAAAAAATACACTCTATCATGGCAGTACATACAGTTGGGCATTTAAATGTTTAAATTAGTCTTGATTTTTCCCTACCACTTCTGGGCTTTTAAAGATCTTAACATTCTTTTCCCTTTTTCTTTTTTTTTGGGGTCGGGGGGCTTCTGAGTTATTTCTGATGGATAAATTCTCAGGAATCAGAGATTAAAGAGTCAATGCTTATGACTGTTTTCATAATTCTTGGTATGAACTGACTTCAGAAAAGATCCTAAATTGTCAAATTCATGAAACTTCAGATTTCTAAGCACATTAACTACACGGAAACTGGCTGCTGTTTGACAGGTGCATTGCTTAGATTTACAAACATCTGGAATTGGCCTGAGAGCACCCTGGACTCACTAAAACGCCCTACTGGAAAGGTCCACATACTTCATATGTGTGCACCACAATGAGACATCACTTCACATTCACCAGGATGGCTGTAATCAAAAAGGCGTAAGGAGTGTTGGCAAGAATGTTGAGAAACTGAAACCCTCATATATTGCTGGTGTGCAACATCTCTGTCGTCAGGCTTTTGACCACCGCGGTGGGGGACATAAAGCTCAAACTGACCAAGAGTACTAAGGAAAATCACAATTCTCCAGGGCTGCGTCCCTGACACTGATGTAGGCAATTTAGGAAACAGTCTGGCAGTTTTTCAAGAGCTTAAACAGAGTTACCATATGAGGGCAGCAATTCAACTCTTAGGTACATTTTCTCAAAAGAAATAAAAACATTAGCTCACAGAAAAACTTATATATGAATTTCCATAACAACATTATTCACAATACCAAAAATTGAAAACAGCCCAAGTGTTCATCAAGTGACAAGTGGGTAAATAAAATGTGGAATATCCATACAAAATTCTATTATTTAGCCATTAAAAAGAAGTACTGATACATGTTACATAGTGTATGAATTTTGAAAACAAGCTAAGTGGAAGAAGTCAGACACAAAAGACCACATCTTACATCACTCCATTTATATGAAATACTCAGAGTAGGCAAGTCTAGAGAGACAGAAGAAAAATCAGTGGTTGTCCAGGGCTGGTAATATTGGGAGAAAATGGAAAATGACTGCTAATGGGAACAGGGTGTCTTCTAGGGGGTGATAAAAAAATGTTTTAAAATTGACTGTGATGATGGTTACACAACTCTGAAAGCAATTAAAAAAACAATAACACTGATTCAGAAATATAGACCAATGGAACAAGATAGAAAGCCCAGAAATAAACCCATGCACCTATGGGTACTTTATTTTTGACAAAGGAGGCAAGAATGAGGCAAGAATGGGGCAAAGACAGCCTCTTCAATAAATGGTGCTGGGAAAACTGGACAGCTACATGTAAAAGAATGACATTAGAACATTTCCTAGCACCATACACAAAGATAAGCTCAAAATGGATTAAAGACCTAAATGTAAGACCAGAAACTATAAAACTCTTAGAGGAAAACATAGGCAGAACACTCAATGACATAATTCAAAGAAAGATCCTGTATGACTCACTTCCTAGAGTAACAGAAATAAAAACAAAAGTAAACAAGTGGGACCTGATTAAACTTAAAAGCTTTTGCATAGCAAAGGAAACTATAAGCAATGTGAAAAGACAACCCTCAGAATGGGAGAAAATAATAGCAAATTAAACAACTGACTAAGGATTAATTTCCAAAATATACAAGCAGCTCATAAAACTCAATGCCAGAAAAACAAACAACCCAATCAAAAAGTGGAAAAGACCTAAACAGACACTTCTCCAAAGAATACGGTTGACTAACAAACACATGAAAAGATGCTCAACATCACTCATTATCAGAGAAATGCAAATCAAAACTACAATGAGATATTACCTCACACTGGTCAGAATGGCCATTATCAAAAAGTCTACAAACAATAAATGCTGGAGAGGGTGTGGAGAAAAGGGAATGCTCTTGCACTGTTGGTGGGAATGTAAATTGATACAGCCACTATGGAAGACGATATGGAGAGTCCTTAAAAAACTAGGAATAAAACCACCATATGACCCAGCAATCTCACTCCTAGGCATATACCCTGAGGAAACCAGGGTTGAAAAAAGATACATGTATCCCATTGTTCATTGCAGCACTATTTATAATAGCTACAACATGGAAGGAACCTAGATGCCCATCAACAGATGAAGGGATAAAGAAGTTGTGGTACATATACACAATGGAATATTACTCAGCCATAAAAAGGAACACATTTGAGTCAGTTCTGATGAGGTGGATGAACCTAGAACCTATTATACAGAGTGAGGCGAGTCAGAAAGAGAAAGATAAATATTGTATTCTAACACATATATATATGGAATCTAGAAGAATGGTACTGAATTTATTTACAGGGCAGCAATGGAGAAACAGACATAGAGAATAGACTTATGGACATGGGGAGAGGGGAGGAGAGGGTGAGATGTATGGAAGGAGTAACAGGGAAACTTACATTACCATATGTAAAATAGATAGCCAATGGGAGTTTGCTCTCTGTCTCAGGAAACTCAAAGAGGGGCTCTGTATCAGCCTAGAGGGGTGGGATGGGGAGGGAGATGGGAGGGAGGTCCTATGGGAGGGGATATATGTACACCTATGGCTGATTCATGTTGAGTTTTGACAGAAAACAACAAAATTCTGTAAAGCAATTATCCTTCAACAACAACAACAAAATAAATTTTAAAAAAACCACACTGATCCATAACTTGAGAGTTAATTTTATGGTATGTGAATTATATCTTAAAAAAGATTTTTTTAAAAAAAGAAAGTAAAGATGAAAAATACCTGGTAAGCAAAACAAGAGAAAAAAAAGCCACTCATATAACCTATATAGCTCAGCACGATTTAGATAATTATCATCAAAACTGTTAACATTAAAACCTACAGACACATTGTTTTGTGAATAGATAGTTCCACACATAATCTAACAATCTTTTTCACTATCACTAACAACTTTCTATATCACTAAACACTTAACAATAGTTTTTAAAATCTGAAGTCTATAATGCTTTCATTTAAAAGAAAAATAAAAATGACTCAACTCTCTATATAAAAATGTAAGCAGTTTGTTTATTACATTTCAGGTTTTCATTCCCTGTTAAAATTATGCAAGGACTCTTGTCCAGTTATTCTTTGGACAGTCAGCAAATTTTTATTCCCTTGAGTGCCTAGAATTTCATGTTGTATCTAAATAGACTCCTCAATAAAAAGACTATTTCTTTTTTCATTCCAAAAATTAACCAATGTGTGAGCTTCCACACCTACAAAACCCAAAAGGTAGTTTAAAAGTAAATCATTAAAAACAAGCTAATTTTCTACAAAGTTGTACACAAACAAAAATAGAAAAGGAAGGTTATAGGAAAATAGGAAGGATTAAAACCAGCTTTTGATTTTCAAGGATAATAATGAGAAGTTCTAAAACACAGAAACATTAAAGAGATGATATTTGTATTATACAAAAAAATTGTTACTTCTATGTCTCCTTTTAACATCTGCTCATTCTTACAACACTCCTCGAGCCAACCACACCTCATACCTGAATGATCTAGAAACAACTCATTTTTGAGCATTTATGAAGTAAAGAAGAGGGCCTGACCAACCTGTAAATACAGTTCTCTTTTACATATGCCAAGAGAAGGCACTAGATAATTAATCTAGTTTCTGACAAAACTGCTTTTAGCTTTTTTATCATGTATATACATCTTTACTTTAAAAACATGTTGAAGCAAAACTAGGACAAGAGGGAAAGCATCAAATGATAGCTTTACACCCAATCAAGGATTGAGAAAAAAAGACTTTCTCAAATAATAAAGACTCTGAGTTAACCTAGTGGTTACCTCTGGCAGGGTGGAAAGATGTGATGGGTTGGCACATGTGGTGACCCTAAAGGTACTGGTTTTCTGTCTGATGGTGGGTTATATCCATGGGTAATATCCACGCAAGTATCAGTACTGCTTTTTATGGCTAAATAATAGAATTTTGTATGGATATTCCACATTTTGGTATTCATGTTATTCTTCTAACCATCATAGAAATCATAATACTTTCATGTATGTGGTACCTCACAAGAATAATACCGAAAATCGAAAACATCCCTTGATAGTTGTCGTCCCTCCAACCATCACTCAAGCTGAATCCTCTTCAGTCCAGGTCTATATCTCTCCCTGCTTCAGGACGGAATATCAACTCAAGGCCCAAGTAGGTCTGGCCTCATC